GTGCGGTGATTCTAACAACAGCCTTCTCACTTAAAGTTCTCTCTTTAAGCCTTTCATTATCTGCTCAGGCTGAAATGGCGTAAGACAAATCAGCAAACAGCTTTCCACTTATGTGGAAAAGTGGAGGGTTATTATCTCGATTTAAAACTCCACCGTTCGGATTTTGTCATTGAAGTGCTGCCATGTGACGTTCCCCGCTTCATCTGCAGTGCATCGCCGTGCTTTTCTGGGCTCTAACTTGGCATCCGGCGAGCTGCTTAATGGCCTCTGACAGGCAGTCTCTCCCCCACCCCCCCCGTGGCTGCACTTTTCCTCCAAACAGCCTGAGAATGAGGCATCCGAGCGTTGGGTCCAAAAGGCCGAGAGCACAAACACACTGCAGCATCCACACTGAGGCGGGCAGGGAGACAACAGGGAGCAAGTAAACAACACACACATACACACACTGAATACAAGCCAAACACACACACACAAGCTCACTCCCACACGCTTTTAGACTCTCTTTCTATTAAAAGCATCAGCTTGTACTCTGCATGGCCTGAAGTATGTGGACACCCAAAGATTTCAGCCGTGTGTGTTGGATGAACGGGGGACTCCAAAGTCTGGACATTAACGGGCGTCACTAACAGCTCAGTTCCCATTCAAGCTCGTAAAAATTCGAAAAAGTCTAACACTGATGCATGGTGATGAGGTCTGGCTCACAGGCAGGATTCTGTGCAGATCTCCACACCACACTGGAAAAATCATTCCTTTATGGAAATTTCCTGGGGCGTGGGGGGAGATGTCGTGTTGAAACAGGAACAGGGGCAAACTGTGGAAACCCAAAGTACTCATTGCATGCCCTACAGCTGCAACAGTAAGTCAAGATGCTATTTGAATCTGCGGGATACGGGACACGTTTGTCCAGTTTCACAATGCATTAAAAATGCAAATAATCATCATGAATGAAATGAAAAGTTGCAGGTCTGCAGAGAGATGAAACAGGCTGAAACAAACACGAAGTTAAAGTTACAGTGGATGAGTGTCCACTTATTTCTGCTCACCTATTGTTCACCCTCATGCACAGGTGTATAGACAAAAACACACACTTCTAAAGGCATGTTATTGAGCATACACCCCCCACACACACACACACACACACAATAGCCGCTCACCATCTGCTGCAGTTTCAGCCTCCAAAGAGAGAAAGAGGAGAGGAACTGTTCTTCTTCTCCTTCATCTGCAGCATTCGGTCAAGGCAGCGATTTCTGGATTCTGATGAACCAGCTTTCTCTCTTCAAGGGCACAAAGTGGTTTCGCTTTAAAAGCCAGAGGCTCGAGTCTTTGTTCAAACCAGAATTTTATCCAGAGTTTTATTCCGGATCAAACACGGCTCACATTCGTTCTCATCTTCGTTCACGTCGCTCGCTGTCTCGGCTTCCTCTGATCGTTGTGCGCTCTGTCCGGCACACACCCAGCCCACCGACTGAGGACGGGCGAGCCTCTGTGTGTAAAAAAAGAGGGGGAGAGAGAGGGCTAGGGAAGCCACATGCTGCTGCTAATGCTGCGTGTGCGCGTGGGTGTGCGTGCGTGTCGGTGCGCTGGAGCACCCGTCCTCTCTGTGTTGCATCGAGTGTGTAATGTGCATTAAAGCTGTTTGACAGAAATAGTAACAGCAGAGTGCGTTGCAGCTGCAGGCTGAGCTCTGAATGAAGCGAGTCGGAGAGAAAGTGTATTTCTTCACAGTGCCTTAACTGCTGCGTGTGTCAGGGCGGCAAATTTACAACGTGCTAGAGAGACTGAAACTATCGAATTTGTCAGAAGTATTAGTGTTTATATGAGACATCATAAGATGGATTTATGGAGACGATACAAAAACTTTGACTTCAGGTAACTGCTGATGCAGAGCACTGATCCCATATCAGTGTTAAATTAATAAGGCTGACCCCAATCTGGTCCACTGGA